AACTTTCTCTGGAGTTGCATCACACATTCTGGGAATGTTATTTAGAAGTATTTTTAATGAAAACAGATCTTCTTTCCACTTTTCACTGGACCAGAGACAGCGAAACAAATTTTCTTTTGACACAGTTAGGAAGTAAAACTCTCGTCGATGGCAAAGTTAGTTTTGATATGATTTTGGATTGTCTGATTTGGGCTACTGATTTAGTTAAATTAGAGAGAAAGGCTCAAATGAATACATGCATTTTGCTAACATTATTGGCTTCCTACACAGCACAACATTTTTTCCAACTATACACGACCTACTCACTAAGAAAGCTATACTTTATATACAGCACATCCCAGCAGGCAACCCCTAACACAAAATCCTGTTCCACTTACTGCTTTCCTAACACCATTAGCAACAGGTGCATTGCAGGTCAAGGGTCAAACCAGTCAGAGGCCAAAGATCTCTGCTCTTTTACTCCCAATAGCCTCTCACCCTGCTCAGCTGTTTGCCCTCTGTCAGTATGGGCTCACCATGCTCTGCACTCTGCTCCCCATCCCCTAAGCGGGAGATAGTTAACTCATTCTTTCTGAGATGGGTGACAGGGTCTACAATCTCTCAGCTGACCCCAGTTCTAGCTTTTTGACAGTGAACTGTAAACAACAAGACCCAAGCACGCACGCCCCCACCACCCACAGCTCGCAGCTCACAGCTCACACAGACCAGGCCAGGCCCAGATCCGTGCAGAAGATGGGTAGAGAGCGACAAATATATTGGATTTGTCAAAAAAGAAAATTGCCTGGAGAAGACACGGCATCTGATGCACAAAGGAAACATTAGAAGAATTTTAGAATGTACTGTCACTACTGTATTACTCTAAACTACTAATTGAAAAGTGAAATGATGTTACAAGCAGTCAAGAGAAGGGTGTGCATGCGCTCTGCGATTCCTATATTACTTTGAGCTGCAATTTGACCTGGAGCAGAAAGAAAGGTCGGGCTGGACAGGGTGCCATGAGAATGAAAGATTAGAGATGTATATCAGAGAAGAAGGGCAAAGCAAGTGCAGATTAATCAGGTTTTCCTCTGGTACACATGTGTCTTCCTCTTGTATTCCGACCAGGCTTGGGGCAGATGAGAATTATCGGGGAGTCCTGAAATTAATACATCATGTCTTCCAGAAATGTCAGAGTCATTTACATGTTATTTGTATGGGTGAGGAAGTATACTAAGATCCTTGCTTTGAGTTCTTTGACTCACAATAAAAACTGATAAATGACTGGAATCAAGAATCCATTTCTCCGAAAGTAAGAAAAAAGGAGGCTAGGACCAAAATGGCCAGCTAGCCATATCACTCTGCAACTTACAACTGGCAACCCACTGAAGCTAAGCAGGTGTGAGCCTGGTCAGTACCTGGATAGGAGACCTCCTGGGAAAAACTAAGGTTGCTGCTGTCAGCGGTGTTAGTGGGGCCAGCAGGGAGCACTCACCCTGCGGTCTGTGTGGGTCCTAATGCCCCAGTATAGCGACGGGGACACAATACTGTAAAAAGGCACCATCCTTCCGATGAGACGTAAAACTGAGGTCCTGACTCTTTGTGGTCGTTAAAAATCCCAGGGAGTTTCTCGAAAAGAGTAGGGGTGTAAGCCTTGCGTCCTGGCCAAATTTCCCATTGGTCCTCATTAATCATGGCCTCCTAATAATCCCCGTCTATGAATTGGCTTCATTACTCTGCTCTCCTTCCCACCTATAGCTGATGTGTGGTGTGCGTTCTGGCGCATCATCCAGGTGGGGCTGCACACTGGTGGTGGTGGAGTGGATCCCCATTACGTGTAAAGTGCTTTGAGTGGAGTATCCAGAAAAGCGCTATATTAAGTGTAAGCAATTAATTAATTAATTAAAAGGAAAGCAATAGGGATTCTTTCTGATCTTTGTCAACGGAGACACCCACTGCACAGGGCAGTAATTAACCCCCTTCAGCTCAGGACCCCTGTCTCCCTCAGAGGAGTTATGATGTGCATTCTGTGCTCCCTGGAGTGACAGAGCACACGCTACAATGTTTGCCTCTGTGTCCTGGAGTGAACTGGCAACACACGGCGCACACCTTGTGCTCTGTCTGGCTCTGCTTTGCTAGGAGAGGGTGTCTGAATTCATGTTTTTTTCACATCCAGACTCAGAATCTACTCCTGGCCCGGAATGGTTAATTCTTGTACACTTTGAAAACACTTGTGGAAAGCATAAGACGATGCAGCAGAAGGAGTCAAAATGTTTATGTTCTGTCTCTAATCACTGCAGATCTCCCAAAGGAGATAACATTTACCCTGCTCTCTCTGTCACTCCCTCTCACTCTCCTCTCTTCTCTTCTCTCTCCCTCTCTCTGACTGACTCGGCTTTCCCTCTCACTCGCATTTTAAACCTTGTGCTGTTGCTATTAAGCAGTAAGTATATCAAATGAGAAGCTGTGTATGAAATGGGAATATGCATAGAAAATCATTTCAGCAGGAGAAATTCTTCCTCTCACACACATTTGTCTCTCAGTGTCTCCCATTCTTTGTCTCCAAGATGCATTCCTGGGAGATTCCTTACAATAAAAATCATTGGTATGTGTTGTTATGGAAACTAAGACATACATTCATCCAGATTGCATTTCCTGTGATCCCTCACCTTATGTTTAACTCAAAGCACAACGTCCACACTGTGCTTTTCTCCAGAGAGCAAAGAAAAGGATAAATGTCACTGTCTGTAATCCCCCCCTGGTCTTGGAGAGCACCATCCCTTGGTCATTGACAGCAAGCCAGCTTGAATCACCAGATACTTAACAAGACTGGTAGCACCTAGAAATCATGGATCAGATTAGTTAAGCAAATGGTTCAATAAAGATATTTATGATCCTTGAGCACTGATGGGTCTTTATACCATTGTCCTAAATGTTCTCAATACTGTGTTAATTAATAAATATGTTTAGATTATCAAAAATAGTTTTATGTCTTAGCTTAGGATATTTATGAGTTAATTGACAACTGTTAAACATGATGGTATAGGAGAGAATAGACCATGGGGTTGACCAATTACATTTAATGTAACTGCCTAACTTCGAGGAGCTGTGGTAGCTCAAACGACAAGGGTGTCTATCTCCTGACTGGAAGACCCTGGGTTCAATCCCAGTTAGTGGGAAGTGATGTAGCTTGCTTTAATTCCTCCCAGACAGCTGACAGCTCCCAGCTCCTGCTTTCTAAATGAGTAGTGGGGGTAACAAGCTGGCTGGAGTGTGGTGCTGACCACACCACTCTACTTCCAGTGTTGGATGGTCAAGTAAAATGGTGTCCCTTGCCCCCCATGGGCCTTTATGGCCTGAAAAGGGGACCTACATTTATTAGAATGTAACTATATATTAGTTATAGTTATATACTATATAACTATACAACATATATTGAAAAAGTATTTTTTTTTTCTTTTGAAAACATTTCAGTTTTATTTTAAAAAAAGCACTGGTAGATGTAGATACTTATTTTCCCAGAAAAAGAAAGTACGACCACATAACGCCTATATAGTACTTAGCTCTCTCCATTGGTTTCTGTTAGGTATAGGGCAGACTTTACTTACAAGGCTCTCAGAAGTCAGGCACCTGTCTATTTAATGAAGCTGATTAATGTATGCAATCCAAGTCACCAACTTAGATCACAGAACACAGGTCTTCTTCTTATTCCACATATTAATAAAAAAACAACTGGAGGTAAAGCTTTTAGCTACAGGGTCCTTAGTTTATGGAACAGTCTGCCAGCATATGTACGGGATGCTGAGTCAATCTCAGGATTTAAATTCAGACTGAAAACCAATTACTTCAGTCTAGCCTACTCATTCCTTACATCATAGCCTGCTGTAACCATCGCTGCTGGTGCTGCTGTTCATGCCATTGTGTGTCTCTGTGTTGGCCCACCAGGTAGATACATCTGTTCTGGGCACCAGCTGAGTTGGATGCTGCATCACTGCCATGGATCCAAGAGAGCCATAGCGAATGCAGCTATCATTTTGGAGGATTTGCTAGTCTACAGAGAACTGCTAAGACCTAATACTCCACATTTAGTACTTTTTTAGAATTGTATAATGTTAGCATGCCCAGAGTGGTTAGGCAGCCAGTTGACCTTGGACCCCTAGAGGTTTTTTTTCTCCTTACTGAGGAGTTTTTGGTTCCTCTTCTCTATTGTCTTCTGGCTTTTTCTCTTTCTGTATTGTAATGTCATGTACTGTCACACAGCTTTGTTAAGGGCCTTGGGGCAACTTTGTTGTGAAAGGTGCTATATAAAAATAAATTCAACTTCTAAATACTAACAACTAACATGCCACTATTTATTACAATGTAATAATGATAAATGAAGTCATTTTTTGTTTAAAAATCCATTATTGTAACATCTAAATCATGTCGTTGATCCTCATTAATCATGAGTACCCTTCAACCTTGGCCAGTACTGGAGGTTTCCTGGCTGAGCTGCCCAGAGCCCTGTCTCTGTTTTCCTTAGCACATGACTGAGCTTGCTGGAGGGCTTCCACGACTGAGCTGCTCTCAAGGCAGTTTAAAGCCCCCCACATGTCGGCCTTGAACCAAACATCTTTAATAGGTGGCTACTTGGGGCACTGCCCCCAAACCCCTTGGTTTGACCTCAGTGCTTTGCCCGAGGCCTGTGGGGTTGAGAGGTGGTCAGACTCCTGCTCGGACATGCCGGGCAGCTGCCCAGGCAGCATGAGCAAGGAGTCTTCTGCTCTGCCAACACAGAACAGTAAATCGTCTTCAGTTGCTAATCATTTGCACAGGTCAGGTGTTCAGTACATTACATTCTTCGACAGAGATGAATGAATGTCAATTCCTGAATGTTACAAACGAGGAGAGAGGTCTGTTTATTATTTAATTATAATATTAATAATTGCTGTTTATTAATTAAATCCCCCTTCCCAGTTCAGTTCGCGCTGCCTCGATCTGATTCGCGATCTGGTTTCCACTCCGGGTCCGTTGAGCCGCTGCGCGACCGTGAGAGAGAGAGCGGCCGCGCAAGAGAGGGGTGTAGGAGATGCTGGCAGTGTGTTTCACCGCTAGAGAGACGCCGAGCTCCTGTTCTTCCTGCCTTGACAATGTACAAGAAGCGAACAGGGGAGGAACATGGTATGTAAACCAAAGACCGAAGAAACACTCTCCAAAACGGGGCTGTGCGAGCACAGTGAAAGACAATATTGTAAACAATAGAGCAGCATTTTCTTCGAACTGAACTACAAAAAAATATTAAGCGACCGGCGACGTTATTTTGATGGACACAAACCAGCAGGCGTGCGCGGCTACGGAAGGCAGCTGAACTCTTGTGAGAATGGGTTAGGAACACAAGTGTTATTGAAAGAAGAAAAACACAGATGCCCTTTTCGACACAGCTGGTCTGGGACTTGAGTGCTGCTGTCCGCGTTCCTTGGGCTCATTGCTCAGGCTCCGCTTGCAGAGATTCCAGACTGCCTCAGGATTGCGTAGCGCTGCCCGGCAGGAGCGCCGCCGCGCCGCGATAGCGGAATGCCAGGTGTTGATCGGGCATAGAGGAGCATTGTCGTGTGTGTTCAGAGGAAGCCCCGCGGGGTGGGGGGACACAAGCCGACAAACCAGTTGTCTTAAGGATGTCACGGCGGAGGACTGCCACTGTTCTGGACAGAGACAGGTGCGACCGGGAGGAGGAATAGTTTCCAGAAGCCAGGAGGGGGAGGGACGGCAGGGGGGACCGAGGAATTGGCACCGTCGACATCCTCAGACCCCCCCTCCCTCCCCAGCATTCTGGTTTTCGCTTCGGGAGAAGAAGGGCTGTGTGGAAACACGGACAGCTCGAAGCGCCGAGCACAGGGCTGATCTCCGGCTACCCGGTGAGTGAGCGAGACCGATTGGCTCGGGGTCCGGGAAGATGTTCTCGGCTCTGCGCTGTGTGAGAGAGCTGTGCAGGGGTCTGGGGCTCTGCTCGCAGCCACAGACTGGGCTGGGCGGCCGATCTCTGCCATGTGAATGGACGAGCTGTAGTTCTGGTATTAGTTAATTTCAGGTTTGTAGAAATGTCTTTGATTTATGAGGAATCGCACTTCAAACTGTGCAGTACCCTTGTGTGTGTGTGTTGGCAGGGGTTCTTCACCTTTTAGTATGCTGCTTTTTTCTGACGAGGTGTCAGGAGGCAAATTTAATGTGATTGGTTCGCTGTCCCGAATATTCTTTATAACGACCAATCCATTGTATTGCATAACACCATTTTCTTGGATAATCTTATCATTATCGTCTTCGAGATTATAAATTGATTTATCGTATTCGCTTGAGGTTTAAAATTAAAAACATTTTCCCTGATTTGTAGTAACAATGTCATTATGGTTGTTAATATTCATTTCCTATGCTAAATGAATTTTCTGGGTGTTGGAGGGTTTCAGTGGTTCTGCTGTCAATAGCATGATCTCAGTCCAAATGTCAGATCTGAAAAATCCTATTAACACTCCTGTGATTAAAGCGTCATTACCGTCCTTTCAGCTTTTCAGCTTCACACTTCGGCTGATTTGCATTCGGATCATGACACGTGTCGCTGTCAGGTTCCGATAAATAACGCAGCGTCTGTAAGAACCGGCTGGCCGGGAGAACTGCGGGCGGTTTGTGCAGCTGGGTCTTGTGTATGTGAACATGTGCACACGCACACATATGAGGCACCTGAAATAAACGCAGGAACATCTAGACTGCCCTTCCGCTGTCCCCTGTCCTGCACAAGCTCTCCCGTCTGGTTCCCTTGAATTCCCGGGCCGCATGGGAGAACAGTCCAGACCAGCTGTTTTACAGACCTTCATTTTTCACATTTTTGTTGGCGAGTGGGCAATTGCGAGGTCTGGGTCCTACTCATCCCCTGGCTTGTCTTCTCTCGAAATTAGGAAAGCATTACAGTGTGTGCGCATTGCAATACATAATTGTGTACAGAATGTAATTCTAAATCCAATTCGCTGGGTCACAGCCTTTGCATGACCGATGAATTTCTTGCAAAACTCTGCTGTCAGGCAGGTAAGGATTCTGAGATGAGGAGTGGAAAGAGAAGATAGAAGCAATTCCTCTTTTGCCTCACGTAGCTCCTCCCTCTCTGCTCATTGTAAGAGCAACCTGAAGGGCGATTCTTTCCTCTAGGCAGAATTTAAACGCTTCTCTGGAGCTTCTCTGCTCTGTGTGATGGCTGTAAGTTCCAGTTTGTTGTGAGGCTGTTTGCCTTGGCCTATCATGATTTCTCAGAGAAATCTGGAGGCACCTGTAGTTCTCAGGTCTCCAACACCACAGCACAGCCTCTATGTGTCCTGTCTGCAGCAGCTGGATCTCTACAGTGTAATGAGCTTGCTGGCCCTGCTCTTTCCCACTCTTAGTGTCTGTATTGAGCTCGCTGTTTGTGATGGTGGCAGTAAATGTCTCCGAGCTCCTCAAGTTTCTCACTCTGAAACTCCATCTTTTGTTGTAGTCCTGTTTCAAATTCAAATGGCCCATCGAGCTGCCTTTTGTTTAACTCTGGAGTTTTTTGACTGGAGAAGCAGAAAAAGTAAGTAAAGTCCCAAAGGGTCAGAGCATTCCAATAGAGAGTGTGAGAGGGAGAGGGGGACCAGGAAAAAAAAGGGGGCTGGGAATGTAGACAATTTCCTTCAGCTCTGGAAAGCTGAGACCATGCTGAGGGAATAACGCCCCTCTGTATTTGTGTCTGTAAAGCTTAAAGGACATGAAGCCCTAAAAATCTTAACAGAGACTCTGACCTCCTTGCTTTACTAACATTTCAATGGTCTGTTTTATCCCCCTGTAGGACAGATGCTGAAGTGTATTCAAATTCTAATTCCTTATTCTCTACATTGCTAATGGTGTAGGAAGAGATCTTCCTACAAAACATTCCACAGCACATTTCAGAATGGGGGGCTCCTCTTTCAAGGCAGTCAGTATATTCATGTGACAGACTTCCTCGGCACCAGGCTTTGTCATTTACTGGTTACATTTTTGAGCAAATGATGAACAGTGGGAGACAGCTAATGAGAACGTGTGGGAAAAAAAACACTTTTCACTGTTTTCACTCATTAAGTAAGCACTTAATGAGTGTTCTTTACTTCTTATTTTTCCTGTTCACAGGAATTAAAATATACAAACTCTACTGTATTCAGGAATTTCTGTGGTTAGCTAAGGTGTATTATTCTCCAGTGTACTTTACATCTTAAAAAATCCCTGGATCTGAGCTAATCCTCGAGCAGCACAGGAGTATCATCTATTCTTTAGGCATTTTGAGAGTTCTGCTTCTTTGGCATGTGTATAATGCGTATTCATACGTGCAGAAGTATGTTGTATTGTGTGGTTTGAATTTAAGTCGGGTAGGTGTGTGTGTACCTCCTCTCTCCCATGTGGATACTCAGATGCTCTTGAACCTCTGCAGTCCTGAACAGTGACCTGCACTCAGATGTGGGGCTCAGCCCATCTTCATGTGATGTCCACAACCTATTGGGAAAGGACAGGGCCCACAGAGGCTCTGAATGGGATAAATTGGGCGGAACAATGTTCCCAGTCATGCTGTGCTTCAGAGAAGAAGAGGAAAGGAAAGTCTTTAACTAACTCAGTGTTGAAGATTGCAGCACGAGACAGCCCACGCTCTGTCTGTCTAACAAGTCCATGTGTTTGCCTGTGTCTACACTGCTGCACTTTGAGTCTCTGAGGACTCAGGGGTCAGGGGCCAGGGGTCAGAGTCAGCCCAGCAGTCGGGTCAGCATTCCCATGGTGCTGTGCAGCAGTGCAGGGGTTAATGGCCCCCCAGCCCACGATTAAGTGGTCGAGCTGTCAGTCAGCTGGGGGTCTCTGGGAGGCTGTCACAGTTGGAAGAGCTCACCATCTCTCACATTAAAATGCAATAAAGTTTCTCCCCCCAGGGATGCAGCCTGTCATTTAATCTCACTTTCTTTTTCCCTCTCCATTTCCCCCGCTCTTTCGTTCCCCCTGTCTCTTTCCTCTTTTTCCACTCCACTGCTTTTCCTCTCGACAATGAAAGTAAATCAAGGCTGCTTAAACAAGCAGAATAGTTAGCAGAATATTTTTGAAGTGCTAATAAAGATGTATGGATGCAATCTTCTGCCTTTCTGATGTTTGACTTGTCTACAGCTCCTCATGTGCAGAGGCAGCTGTTTTATTCTTTTTTATTTATTGTTATTGCTGTTAAACAACATCCTCACAGATTAATTGTTCTGAACACGAGAAGCTTCAGTTACAGCAGATCTGAACAACAATAAAGCACAGGTGTCAGAAACTGCGGGGAGAGGGATTAGTTATAGACTGAGGAGTCCAATGAATAGTAATAAATAACCAAGAGATCTTGAGATTAAAAGTATATTTTGTAACAATAAACAGGCAGCTCCCCAAGCTTGTATTTTCATTAAGACACCCAAAGAAGCATGCAGACATGGTGCAGCTACAGTGGAAATACAGACAGAAAATACACCAGACATGATAAAATATTCACTTATCATCAATAAACAAACAGGTGACACTAGCAGAGTGTGCAGTGGGTTCTTCACAGCATGTTTCCTTGTCATTGTGACCTGCTCAGGAGGAATTTCGTCTGTTGAAACGTGGCTCTGTTGAAGTGAGTATCAGCCGGTGGTGCTGCTCTCACAGCTTTGTTAAGGAGAGGGGAGGCCGTCTAGCTTATTGTCATCAGTGAACTGATCCCCTTAAAGTTCTAGCAGCCTGTAGTCTGCTTTGGCTGGACTTCAAGGGGTCTAACAGGCCCCCAGGAGAGCTGTCTGCTTTGTTAGGGAGCAGGTTCCTCACGTGTAGAACCTCATTGTGGGTCTTCTTGTGCAGGAAAGCCCAGCCCCTTCAGGTTTTTTTACTTTCTCATTAAGGCCTTGGTTTGCTCATGCCGGGCTCCGTGCTTCAGCCCCCAGGAGAGCTGGTCAGCCACTGGAAAGCAATGGAGAGCCTCTTCAGAGCTCTGGGGTGAGAAGAGAATTAGTCATGCCTCAGGGCCATGCTGTATGTAAGGAGGTGTTTAATGAGGGGCTCCTGTCGTCTTGACAGAGCAGAAGGGGACAGGGGTGTGAGGCAGAGAGAGACCTGGGGCCCCATCCCAGGGGTCCTGTTCTCACAGCTAGTATTTGTGACTATAACGACTCAGGATGCTATTTTTGAATTAATTTGTTTTGTTCTTTAAAATGATTAAATGTCAGTGGGCAGATATACTGTATATAGCAGGATAAACATTGTACAGTGTAGTGCATCTGTCCAGTTCATATGTAAATAAGCATGAGGGCAACACATACTTTCTAGAAGTGAAGGATTGACTTTACTTTTGTGAGATATAGAGGTACAGTATAAGATAGTGTTTTATTTGTGGTTTAAGACACAGCACAGGAGATGCAGTGGTGGGAACTGTCATCTCCCAGTCCTGAGAACAGGAGGCACACGTTTACTCAAAGGGTTGTAAGAGTGTGGAACAAACTGCCCAGCCATGTTGTAAAAACATCAGTCATGTTGGCTTATTTTACAAACTGTCTGCAAAAGCACCAACAGGCTAGATGGGGCCTTTCTTCATAGAGGCAACAGTGGGAGGAGGTTTTTTCAGAGAGAGGTGCAGCTCTGATAATTTGATCAATGACTTAGAGTCTCTCCATTCTGTGACAAGATCGTGACTGGAGCACATCTAGATGTTTTTCACAATACTTCAAAACAATCGCCACTACTTGCACCATAAAACATCCTTTAGTAATATCTGTGAAGGTCCATTGCCAGCGGTTTTGTTAATTTGCTCCACGAGTGCCTGTTCCTTGCATGGATACTACCTCTTTAGAAGACTTGCTGTTGTCCTGGCTTTATTGTAGTTGATTGGTCTTTTTGA